TAGTCCTACTTTTCTTCTAATCAGTGTGGATGTAATTTCCCTTCTTTTTCTCATTACAGTAGCTAGAAGTCTAATATGATGTTACACAGATGTGATTGCTTGCTATTTTCCTGGTATTAGGGGAAAGTATCTAATTTCTCATGATAACTAGATATAGATAGTTTAGTAAATGTCCTCTTCAAATTATGACATTCTCTATTTCTAGTTTGCTGAGAACTTTTTATCTTATTTTTTATGTAATGTCTTCATCTGGTTTTGGTGTTAAGGAATTTCTAGTCTCATAGCATTTCAGGACAACTATATCGTTGCTAATTTTCTCCCTTCTCGATGAACTAATTACTGAAAGACAGGTATTGAAACCTTCTACTACCATATCAGATTTATCTACTTTTTTAGTTACATAAGTTTTTACTGCTATATTTTGAGACTGTATTTGTAAACAAATGCACTTTAAGGACAGGAATATCTTCCTGGAAGATTAACCCCTCAAGCCTTATGTAATTTTTCTCTTGATTTCTTCTGCTGATGTCTGCTTACCTAAAATTATTATAGCTGGATTATGTTTGTTTTGGTTAGTTTTAATATGCTATGTCTTGGTCTTTACTTTTAATGTGTCTGAGTCTTTATATTTAAAATGGGTCTTCTATAGCAAATATATAGTTTGCTCTTTTAAAAGACTGTCCATCTGAAGGTCTCTTTCAGCTGATACACATTGATACACATTGAACACGATGGTTAAAACTGTTGGTTTACTACTTACCCTCTTTTTGTTTATTAAAATTGTTGGCCTACTATTGCCATGTTTGTAACTGTGTTACAAACTGTATTTGTAACTTTCTTAGATTTTCTTTGTTTCTTCCCTCTTTTTCAGATTTCTATGACTTGAATAGAACATTTTATAAAATTTCATTGTATAGCATTTATTAGGATATCAATTATACTTCTTTTGTTTAATATTTTGTGGGTTACTCTGAAGTTTATAATATACCTTTTAAAACAATCTCTGTTGACCTTTATATAACACTAACCTATTTCAAAGACAGCACTAGTTTCTTATAACACAATATTTCTATATTCTCCAACCTGTGTCTCATTCTTACCATCTTTTTATCAGTCCATAACTCAGAGTTAAGAAATACACCATTACCACTGTACTTTATGTAAACATTTCCTTGTGCTCACTTTGGCAGCATATATACAAATCATATTTTTGTAGATCAACTAAGAAACAAATTTTTCATTTTATTGTCATTCATTATTTCTCTAATAGCCTTTCTTTAATAAAGATGGGGGCTACCGATATATCATTTTCCTTTCCTCTGAATTAATTATCTTAATATTTCTTTTAGGGAAGAACTGCTGGTTAAGTTTCTCAGTTTTTGTTTGTCTATGAAAGTCTTCATTTGCCTTTGTGTAGGAAAATTTCATTGTACATTGAGTTAAAAGTTGCAACTCTTTTCTTTCAATATTTTATTTCTCTCTCTTCTCCTCCTGATTGCATGGTTTCTGGCATGACTTAAGTGAATCTTCTTTCTACACAGAGGGTGGTGATTTTCCTCCCCCTGGCTCTGAGTGCTTGTTCCCTAGGGAAGGCCCTGAAGCTCACTGGTTTCAGCTGCTGCTTGTCCGACCACAGAGTAAAGCTGAAAGTTATTTAACAATTTTAGTCATTCTGACCTTCCGTTTTATTAATGGGTGCTGTAATTACTTGCAAAGGAATAAACCATAAATTGACTTTTTGAGCAAAACCTACATAATTAATTACAAAAAGACCATTCATTTGGAGACTTTAAAAATGTTTGCTATAATTATAACAATGGCTTCACATCAAAAGAGTTAATAGGAGCTCTATGTATACTAATCCCTTTATATACCTGACTCAAATCAAGACACTCTACATTTTATTGCCTTACCTGAATCTGTCCCTTTTGGTTGCTAATTTTTTTTATAAGCTCAAGTTCAATTAAAAATCCTAGCTACAAAGCACTTTTAAAAAGAGACCTAAAAGCCCATTTTTCTGTACAAACCACTTAGAAAGTTGAACAGGTTTTGATATTATTGTTGTTTATTTTATTTTTACACATTTGCCTTAAGATTTGGCTCTTACCTTGATCAGCCACTCCCAAGACTGCAATTTCTGCATTCCTGTGGGTCTTTAATTTCTTTACATCCATTTGCAGTGGAAAGGATCACAGGTAAGTACTTTTTGGCATTCCGCTCACTTGATTGCCAGTCATTCAGAGAACTTCAGACTTTGTTTCCCTTTGTTGCCTTTATTATGCCTATAATCTGATACATTCACTGGTAGTAGGTAAGAAGGTCTTTAATGTGAGAATTTATATTAAATTCTGACTAGGAATTGCATATTACTGAGCATTTCTTGTAGTTGTAGATGTCAGAGGTACAGCTATTGTCCTTACAGCTGTCACTGCTGTTGGCTTTGAATTGTTTTAAAATCTCTTCCTCAGAGATCCTGTGTCTTCCAGTTCTTTTTCACTGTTACTGCTCACTGTCACTGCTATGTTAGTGTGCTGGTCAGCTTTGAGCTTGGGTAAGCATTCTTAGGATTGTGTTGCAGTCTGCTTGCGTACCACTGGACTGTGATCTCCCCAAGTGTTTTGCCAGTGGGCCAGCTTTTTTCCACCAATTTAGATGAGACCAGAAGGCTAGACAGGCTTAGAGTAGGAGGAAGATCCTTCCCTTGCTGAGATATGGCTTTGCAAACTCTCTTTCCTTACACAGTAGGTCTTTGTTTTCCAGAATATTCTGGAAGTATTTCATAACAATTATTCTTTTCATCCTACCAGAACTATGAAGGTAACAGCTTTGGGTCTTTCCCAGGAGAGTTTGATGTCTTTTCTGAGAGTAAACCCTATTAAAAATTTGGAATTTTTCTAAGATTACAGTTCGAAAAGTTTCCCCTCTGTCAATCCAGTCTACTTCCTGCTCCCAGCAATTCATGAGAATGACTATTTCCGTGTTCCCGTCAGTTCACAGTTCTCGTCACTTCTGCCCTGTGTAACCAGCTGTGAATTTGGATTCACCTATCTCTCTGATTTTCAGGGTGGCAGTTTTCCCCTAAAAATATAGTTCTCTAATAGGTCCAAGAAAAGTCACTCATTTCCAGTTTATTTACCTGTTCCTTGCCGTAAGTGTTAAATATGACCAACAAATTTTTAATCAGTGATCCATGAATCAACTGAAAATTTGTGCATATTTGTGCAGAATCCATAAGGGTACTTTCCAGAGCTTTTATTAAATTCTCAGATGTTTCCATGACTTGTAAAAGTTAGGAACTACATGGCAGAAAAATTTCTGTATGCAAAAATACAGGTCCCTAAGACAGGAATAACAAGGATATATAACAACATCACTTTTATTTGCCTTTCCATATTTTGAGTAATGAATCTAAATTCCAAATTAAAAGTCAGTATCTGCTCTATACATTCAGTTTGTGAAAACTTACCTTGCTTCAATAATTCATCAAAATATTTTGACAGTCCAAGTTGCAATTTGGCTTTAAATTTATTTAAGAAGCAAAATATGGGTTTTAGGGTATAGTAATTGAAGAACACACTTGCCTGGAGGAAACACTAAAATAGTACAAGGCAAAGAACACAGTGGTTTTTTAACTTTTATAAGATACAAGGACTTAACTTGAGCTGCTTGTGTAACAGAGTAAGCTAACAATTCATTCTAAATCTTATGTTGGAAGTATCTCTTATTCTATATGTCATATGAACACTATTAGCAATAAGATAAAAGATTATTTTTCAATTTTACACGGCTGTGTAAATCTTTGTACTCATTTTCAAGGCTGATTAGATGGTACTAGTGAGAGAATGGAAAAAAAAACAGCCTACATGTGAGCATTAAATTAATGTACCTTTATTATTAAGAGAACATTACAGTGCAGTATCAAATTCCCAGCTGATTTCTGTCGACTGTAGCAGATAAAGAAGCCCCACTGTTTATTGGGAGAAGATCCTGTGGATGGTCCATCACTATTTTGCTGTTGCTTAGTATTATACATTATTATCAGACTTCCTAACAGTAATCTCTGCAAGATGAAAGTGGACTCTCGCTGAGAATTCTACACAAATGGATTAATTTGCGTCTCCATTTTTGGCATGTTGCCATGGCTACAGCCATCTGAAGGCCTCAGTACAGCTGTGAGTTGATTGATGTCCATTCACAGTGCAAGGCTTTACAAAACCAGTAACATGAAAGGATGTTCATTAGTGGACAAAGGCCTTCCATACACATTTGGGTAAGGCTTCAAAGGCTGACCGTTACCTCTCCACAAATCTGACCTTCAGGCTAATATCACTAATGAAATGTAGAAGTATACCATGAAAGAAAATACTCAAAAGTACAGAGCTAACACATTTATCTGATACCTGGCTTTATTTTGCTTTATATAAATCTAGCTAAAGACAGTGGCATGCATACACAAACAGAAAAGTGCTTGTGTAATATATCCTATATTTTTCTTTAAAAATATCAGAGGACAAAAAGTTGTTTTGCATTAGAAACAGTTATATACTTATAATTTCTGCTATCTACTGTGGAATGGAAAAAAGAACAGGTCTCACACTGCTTTCTACCTTCTGTATGGTGCAGCACACATTGCCATACACAGGTGCAAAAGACATACCTTTATTTCTTATACTAAAACTTAGCTCACACTACTGTACTGCGGCTTGGTAATCGAACACCTTTCTCTTAGGTATTCAAGGTAATTCTAGCAGCTCTAGTCCAGTTTCCAGGGTATCTGTTCTGTCAATTCAGGAAGCTTCCCACATCACACCTCTAATTTTCTTCTTCCTGGGTGTGACCCATATTCCTGAAGTAGCTTAAATATTGCCCTCTTATCAAAGGAGAGAAGGCCTTCTCCTATGCTCACCACTAGCCACACTGGCCCCTCCAGTCCTATCCTGCTGACCTTGAGCACTGGGCTCTTTCTTGCTGGAACTTCTGATGATATTGACTGGCTTACATGGTACCCAGCATGGTACCCACCTGCTCCTCTGTGCTCCTCAGCCTCTATGTTAGCACCCCTGTCTGCATCCTCAGCTCCTTCTCTCCTCCTCTTAGAATGCTCAGGAAATCTCTCACACCACGTGAAGATGTATGAGACTCTGTGAGGCTGACTGCTGACCGGACTGAGTAGATTGCCCATAACCTGAAACACAGAGAAAGATGTTAGTTAAATGGACACAGAGAAACTTTGTCAACTTCCACTGAATCATGACAAGCTTTATGACCTTCTATTGTCTTTCATCAGATGGGTGAACTACATGTAAAATTGATTTTGACACTTTGATGTTCTCTAGCTACATGTCTCCCTTCACTTTATCAAAAGGCCAGAAATAACAACAACTCCAGGACTTTCATTGCTTAAGATCCCTGCTGTTTTTCTTGAGTCAGAATCAAAAGACATCATTTGGTCCATAACCCAGGTATAATATAAGCTAATTCATCAGCTTGACAGCATAAATGAAACTGCGATCCTACAGTCCTCTCCATTGCTTGCATGTTTGTTAGGATTTACTATTCAGTCACTTTTTCAGTTAAATTGAGCAGAAAAACCAAATCAAAATTAACAATTTGGTGCCGCTTACTTAGAAATATTTCATGTGAATTAAGATTTTAGCACCTAATGAATCAGAACACTAGTGAACTGTGCAAGGCAGGACTATTTGGACACACTTGTGCAGGTGCAAAGGGAAATTGTCTTTGTAATAAAATGTCTGATTAATCCACCCTAATGCAGGGGGATTGCATAAAAACTAACATGAGTCACAGATGAGCATACTTCACGTATGTAAAACACGAGCCTGGAAGAGACAGTGTTATAAAATAAGTCATCATATAAGATTTACACATAAAAGATTTATACTTTACATCCTTTTGGTTAATATTTATAAATTATCCAAAATTTATTTATAAGAATTATTACTACATACAAAAAGGTAGAGGATACAGCATGTATCTTGGGCCTATTTTTGCAAATATATGCAATTATGAAACAGCAAATTATCCTTAGAAGGGAATTAAACACTGTTTCACTTAGGAAACGCACAGTTGTACCTTCAAAACGTTAGTTAATTTTTCTGTATGTGAACCTCTTAGATTTCAAAATATCTCAAACAAAATAAAAATTGAAAAACATAACATCCTTCTGGAAAAGTTATAAATTAATATAGAAATACCTTGGTCTAAATTATTTTAAGTATGTGGGTAAAAAGCTACTGATTTTACTCCTGGAAATTTCTGATGAGTTTTACATCTGGTAAACCAAGATTTGAGTAATTATAAGTTTTTAACTGTATTTTTTCAAATGGCATCTGTGTAATCTTTCTTTTGGTGAGAAATTTTGCACGACATTTTTCAAAATAAAACATGTTACCTGATGGCAACATCAGTCTTGACTCTAATGTTAAGAATGAATACTACAAATGAATGGGACTGTGTTATTGACTGTAATTACAATTTTAGTGATAATTCTAAGGGAAATGCTATCACTGGGTAGTGGCAATATGCTTAGTAGTGAACAGCCAAGAAGACCTAAAATTATGGCAATGATGCAACAAAACATAAATTTAATAATACAAGTTGCTCTACTTTGTAAAAATGATTTAAATTAAAAATACTGAACTTCAACGCTTTACAAGGATCAAAGTTTTATGAGAATAAAAGCTTGTTTGCCACACCAGAAATAGCAATCGTGAAGAAACAAGTGATATAGAATGTGAGGATTCTGGCATTAATTTCACAAGGGTGGAGAAGGGAATTTGAGATGTGAACTATGCCATTAGTGTGTTGCACTTCCTTAAGTGTAAAAGTTGAAACAACAAAATCTTCTGAGGCCAAATTTATTTTTCTGAATATAATGATATATATAGTACATGTCTGAGTCAAAAGATTGGAATTATTTTCATTCAGTTATTGATAAATGCTTTGAACCTCTACCCTAGAGCTTATGTTTGATACATAATTTTATCCTCTGCCCAGAATTTATTCTTTTTTTTGGGGGGGGGGTATCAAGAATTGAACTCATGGGGCTGGGGTTTAGCTCAGCGGCACAGCGCCTGCCTGGCAAGCGTGCCGTCATGAGTTCGATTCCCGGTACCGGGAAAAAAAAAAAAAAGAATTGAATGCACAATTTATTCTTTATAAAATACTTAGCTTTATAACTTTGGATTTCAGTTTATTTTTTCTATAAAAGTCCCATTGTACTTTTTATTGCTATTCTAAAAAATTAAAATATAAAATGAACACTGTATTTAGTCCACATAAAGTAGCATGAGTTAACTTTTCCTGAGTAGTTACCATGTGCTGAGCTCTATACTACATACTTTGTGTACTTTAATCACACTTAAACCTCATAGCATATCTCTAAGTAGGTACTGTTAGTATCATTTTACAAATAAGCAAACAGGCATTAAAAATGTTATAAAATTCACCCAATGTTTTACAGCAAATAATTGGCAGAGCAAAGACACAAATACAATTTTGATTGTACGTAGGACTTTCAAAAGTGTTATTTAATGCACTTAGATCCCTGTTTTATTTATTTGATTAATATGGATCTATTACTCTATTGATAAAGGAGTTTCCATGAATTTGATTTAGGCATACCTACATTTGATTGATTTAGGCTAATTATACATATGGTCATTGTGTTTTAATCAGTTAAGATCAAAAGGTGGCAAAGAGAATTTGTGAGAGGTTTCAAGCACCCGGAAGCTGAAATCTGAGGAAATGTACATGTACAACCTTTGGGCTGAGAGTGAACTAAATGGGCATGAAGGAGGTAACTTCTGTCCTAAAATTGCAAAATTTCTCGAGCTTCCATTCTTCATAATGATGCAGGATGGATTATTGTAGGATAGTTTCATCATCTTAGTCACCTGTCTGTTTTACTAATTTCCTATTCCTAGAAAATTTGGATCACATTCACATCAAGCTTCTGTATTACCTTTTCTACTGTATTGATCCCAAAATGGAGCTTATTCTCTCAAAATTTATTCTGAAACTGGTATGTCTAACATAAAACTGTACAGAACAAAGGAGAGCAGAGTTTCTTCTTTTAGTTCTACAAGCAGTTTTCAAGTTCATTGTGTGTAAATTGAAGATTTGAGGAGAAGAGATGACTTCTGACCCATTACCAAATTATTTTCTTTCTGTAAGGATTCAGCAAAGCTATGAGTGACTCAACAAATTTTCTGTGTTGAAATCCACTAAGCAGTTTCATTCTTACCTTTAATCATCTCAGACCATGGGCTGTCTAGTGCTTCACATTGCTTCAGTCCACCCTGATGCTCATAACAATCCTCATAGAGGTAACTCCATGACAGTTTACCTTACAAAAGTAGATATAAAAAGCATAAATAAAATGTCAGTCACCCATATATAGTAGACTCTTTTAATCATCATAATAAGAGAAGAGATTATATTCCAGGAGTAAAAATCAAAATAGAAGATAGGTACACAGGAAGTAGAGAGATGTTTTGCAAAATGCATGGGGGAACAAGAAATGGTAGGAAGGGAAATTGGGGAGAGAAAAGGGATAAAAAATTGAAAGAAAAAAACAATGAAAGTAGAGCTTTTGCAAATGAGAAGAAATAGCAGAGAGGGAGGGGAGAGATAGGGGATGTAGAAACAAAGAAAGAAAAAAAGGAAGGAAGAAAGAAAAAAGAAAGAAAGAAAGAAAGAAAAAGAAAGAAAGAAAGAAAGAAAGAAAGAAAGAAAGAAAGAAAGAAAGAGAGAAAGAAAGAGAGAGAAGGAAGAGAGAGAGAGAAAGGGAATTGAGATGTATTATGTTCATGTAAGAACTCTCCACAATAAATGTAATCATTATGTTCTTCAAACATGTAATAATAAAAAATTAACAAAATGGAAAAGGGGACTATCCAGATCCCATGCAGAAATTAAATACAAAAAAGCATTTGATAAAATATAATATTTTCTTACATAAACTATTAGTAAATAAAGAAAATATTCTGAACACGACAAAGAATACATCAAACAATAGATCTTTCTTAACAAGGAAGTCCTAAAAATGATGCCAATAAAGTCTGAAAAAGATAGCAATCATATCTCTCATTATTCTTTCTTCCAATTACTTCAAATACTCTAGCCAGTGCAGAGAGAGGAAAACCAAGTCACATAAATATTTAAAAGGAGATGATAAATAGCATCACCATTTACACATTACGTTACGTTTTGCCAGGAGAATTCAAGAGAATGGTTTGGAAAATGTTCCACATTAACTAAAAAGATTATTGACCAACAAAAAATAATGCATTGAAGGGGATAGTTTAATGCTATTTTGTAGGAAAATTGTTTTAAAAATGTAATAGAATCCCTGCAAAATCAGTTTCTTTGCTCATACTGTTATAACAAAGTGCCTTAGACAAGGTAATTTAGAACAACAGAAATTTGTTTCTCACAATTCTGGAAGCTGGAAACCCTAGGAGCAAGGTGCCAGAAGACTTAGTGTTTGTTTGGCGAGGACCCTTTCCTCATAATTGGCATCTTCTGTGTGTCCCCTCTTGAGGAAAGGGGCAGACAAGCACCCTCCAATCTCTTACATAAGGGCACTGATCCCTTTCCCAGGGACCCACCTCCTCACCTACTCTCCTCTCAGTTTACCTCTTCCGGCCTTCACGTTGGAGACGACATTTCAACACAGTAATTGTGGGAGACACAAGGAATCAGATCCTAACCAGTAGCAAAAACAGATACGAAATACTGATGTAGTAATGGGTAGGACTTACATGAAAAATAACTGGGGGAAAAACGCACTGAGCAATTAAAATGATTATGTCTATAAAAAGACTGTATTTATAAATGAAAAGATTCAGCAGTATGAGTATACCCATTCTCCCACTTTCCAGAACTCTAGAATTATACCTTAGTATCAATCAGCTATCAACATGGAAGTTATTGTTTAGATAATGCCAAGTAAGATAATTTGTTAATTCATGTGGAAAAATAATGGAACCTTCATTTATGTGAACTTCTGTGCAGAATACAGTAGTGCTAATAAAATAATGAACAGAAAACACATAGTCCAAACTCTGATGAATATTTTATTTAAAATGAGAGAAACAAAAATTTTCAAGTACACAAATTAAAACATGATAGAATGTGATAAATAACCATGTATTTATATAACAGGCCAGAGCTAATTAAATGATAAAGGGCTCTCTGAGAAGTAATATTTAAGCTACATGAAAGAATATCCAAAGATAAATGCATACACCTAAAAAACCTACATCCTATAGTGTCCAAAGTAGTGAAAGGTATTAATATTTTATTCTTTAATATATGCATACTATTTAAAATTTCTGTAATTAATGCAAACAATTTTAAAGAGAAAAAGGCATTAAATTCATTTTGAAAAAGACACTAAGAACAAGAACCTCAACACTTGTCAGTTTTTCCTAGATTACCTTTTACATATTCAAGTCATTTCCTTAAACCTTCTTGCAGTGTGATTCATATTCAAATTTTCATTTAGTCAGTGAATGAATATAAATGACATTTGAAAGATATTTTTCATATTCTATGATTATTGGTCTTTTGTTGTTCATTTACAAACATATTCAATATTGAAATAACTATAATTTTTTTGTCTTTTTGAGACAGGTTCTCCCTATGCAGTTCAGGCTGGCTTTGAACTCACTCTGTAGCCCAGGCTGGTCTCAACTCACAAGAATCCTCCTGCCTCAGCCTCCTGAGTGCAGGGATTACAGGCATACACCACCACGCCTGGCTAACTATAATTTTTATTTCAGAAATTTATATAATCAAATTTTACATTTAAATTTCATAGAAAATGCAGAGATTATTACTTATTTGAAGTTTAGAAAATATTAAACAGTATTTTTTGGTATTAGTACAAAAAAAAATCCCTCTTCCAATTTACCATCAAAAAAACTGAGATGGGTTAATCTCCCATAATTATTGATATTTTACATTTTAATTTTTATTAGTACTTGTTTGCAGTACAGAACGATTACATTTCCCTTGGAGAGGGGGTACACGTACGTAACACACCCTAGTTCTTCCCCTCTCTTCCTTCTCTCTCCCCTCGGTCTCTTGGTCCTTTACCCCTTTTCAAAAGATCTGTCTCCCTGTTTCATATAATCTATCTTTTATTTTGCTCTTTATTTACATTTGGGGTTTCTCATATAGGAGAAACCGTGAGAGATGGAAGCTTGTAGGCCTGATTTATTTCACTTGTCATTATGAAGGCTTATTGAATAACATTCCTACTTACCAAGCCACAAAAAAGCACAGAAAAACTTTTTCATTTATTTCTCTGAAATTTCAGGAACATACAGCCAACACAACAAACCTTTTACAAATTAGAAAAGCAGTTTTTATTTTCTCATATCTGTAATATAAATCAATTTATTTATTTTTTTCTTCAGAACATGGACAACTGAGCATGTTATCCTGCACAATATGAAGATAATTTTAGTAAAGGTTTTGATGCCTACATAAATTATTCTAATGCTTTTACTGTGTAATCTTAAAATAAGTATAACTATGAACAGATTTCTTTTCATAATTCACTTAAGGTGTTTAAGCATCCTCAATCTGAAAAATACACCTTTTATAGACTTTGAATTGTAATGCCTGTGAAACAGTGTAAATAATAATTGTTAAGGTGATGAATTACTTTGATTTTCATGTACGTCATCAAATATAATCTCCCATCAAATAGGCCATGGTGTTTCCAAATGAATTCAAAGGGTGCCAATTCACGACAAAATAGTGTGCAAAGAAAATTCACCTTGAGAAATGCATAAACCCGTTTAAGTGCTGCTTCAAGGGTTGTTCTTGAGAGCAACTGTCAATGGGAAGTTTCCATGAACAACTGGGAGCCAGAGCATTGCAGTGTTGGCTCAAAGACACCCCAGGGGAAAGTCCTATCCAATACATCATGAGCAGGGCTCACTTTGTTTTACATGACACTTGTGTACTTCAACAAGGGAAGTGCTAATCAACATGCAATAGCTTTTAGTTCAACATTTAATGCTTATAAAGGATAAGTCATTGGTTGTTCTTCCAGATGATCTGCAGGACAGGAAAAGAGAAGCCAGAATAAGCAATACAAACTTTCTGTCCCACTGATGACCTTTATCTTGAGCTAGAGTTACTTCCTGATGTAGATGTTGGAGACAATTCAGTTCCTATGACTTTAATCCAAACCAGCCCCCTTAAATAAGGTAAAAATGAAACTTTAGATGCCAAAGAACCAAAAGAAGGATAAGATATGATGTATGCTACTGCTAAACATGCTTCTCTAGTACATCTGCCAGGATTTTAGTTTTCTTCTTTTGTGTGATAGGGGCTCAGTGACTGCACTAAATTAGAAGAAATGGCCATGTGCCCATTTACATCCAATTTCAAATATCTTTAACTCACATTTGCAGTAAAACTCTGAACAAGGAGCAATTATTTTGAGAGAGAAGAGATTTCTCTAATGAGAGACTTACTGTCTAGAATTATCCTGAAAGTCTGGAACAAAATGTTTCTCTAAAAATCTTAGAGCCAGGGCTGGGGATTTAGCTCAGTGGCACAGCACCTGCCTGGCAAGAGCAAGGTCATGAGTTTGATTCCTGGTACCAGAGAAAAAACAAAAAACAAAACAAAACAAAACAAATCTTAGAGCCAGTTAGGATAGGGGAAAACAACTGAGCATAGGATCTGCTTGGGATATGGTATTAAGCCTATGAACATCTTCCTTCATAAATACCTTAGTTCAGGTCAATGAGGTATAAGCTAGCTAACCTACCTCCTGACGGCCCTGACCTATAGCTTGCAACACATCTCAAACACTTCAGACTTTCTAGAAAACCAGAAAACTCAACACCAAGCCCTCAACCACAGAGCTTGCTACAGGGTATAAATAAATATCTCATAGGTATTTGTTTAATAAATTTGTAACTTCATTCTTTATGTTTTGAATCCCACAAAGATTTGATAGAAAAAATAATTGGAACAGGAAAAGTCCCTAGGAGTATTACTCATCTTAATTATCCACAATACTAAGATGGTCAAAAAAGGAAAAATTATAAATATATCTTAATCCCATTTTTCACAAAAGAGCTTAGTAGAGTTGATTTATAAGGTGTCAGATTTTAAAGAAACTCTATTCCTAGCAAAGTCATAATTTCTCTTCCCATCATATATCATAGAAAATTACATGAGGAGGCTGGTGGAGGAAGAGGGTTTACCCATAGAGTGAATCAGACTTTGCAAGCCTGAGAGAGACTTAAATATGAAGGGAAGGAGCTTTAAAACAGAGCCAATACATCAATTTTGATGAAGGATGAAGAGACAAGATATAGACAAGAGCAGGAATACAGCACAGAGAGCTTGGCGAAGATTTCAAAAGAATGAGAGGCACTTTTGTAACATGAGGGGCATAATAATTGCCGACCAAGTTTAGAAAGAAGAACACATTCCCACTGGTTCTAGGTAGCAGGATGGCTTTGCCTTTGAAGGAAAATGGAAGACCCCATGGTTCCGGAGAGCTACACTGAACAGAGTACTTGGTGACCGGAGGGATGGAGGAGCTGTGAAAACATGATTGTGCCTCTTAGTTCTTTGTTCATCCTAAAGAGACTTTGCACAATATTGGGAATAAAATTCCCCATTCTTCATATGTCTCCTTGGCCCTGTGTGATCTAGCCCAGGCCTGACTCTCCACTCTGATCTCTTATTTTTCTCTCCTCGCATTCTCTGTGTGTTGAAAGCAGTAGCCTTCTTGCCATTTCTGGAATGTACCAAGTTTATTTCTACCTCAGGCCTTTACAGGGCTGGCTCCACTTCACATTCTGGGTATCACTTTTTTGAGGGGGGGGACATTAACAATGACAATATGTGACACGTCCCCTACCTCATCACCAAGCGTTCTCATGCTCTTTCAAAGGTTTTGGGTCTCTGGGTCTATCTTATGTGCTTATTTGATGATTTCATCTCAGCCTTAAATATTAGCCTCCATAAAGACAAGTACATTACCTTTTTATTTTTGAATCACCAATGTCAGGAACATGTAAGTGCTTAATAAAATCATATGAAAATAAAATGTAATAAAATAATAATAATAAAATCAAAAAATAAAATAATAAAATCAAAAAATTTATCTACTATCCTGTCATTTTTCCATATGGCATTATCAGTAGGTATGGATAGACATAAAGACAATAACTAACATAATAGGTGACATATATTATTAAATTACTGTATTCTGGGCACTGTTCTAAGTGCCTTGTGTGCGCTTTCAAACTTTTGCACAATCAAAACAAGGGTACCAGGAGTTTACGATCCTGTGTATAGTACAGAACATACTACAACACAGGTTCAGGGCAGTGTTAAGATATACAAAATGGCAGCATCTGGTTTTCTAACTAGTTATCTTGCACATGAAGTCATCCTAAAATGCATTACTTCTCCCTCCTTTCACCCTTCTACCTTGAAGGAAATTCTTATCCTTCCTTTAGGATTTGTCTACACATCTTGCAACCACTGCACAGTTTATCTGAAATGTGACCTAAGACATTCAATGTGCTCACCTCTGTTTCCACTGAGCCTTCTGCATAATTGTGTCGAAGCTCATAGAACAGCTGAATTGAAACTGTGAGCTTACCTGATTCTGTCTTTAATTAGCAAGCCTTGCAAACAGGACATTGTTTATGGTCCACTATCATCAGTATTTGTCCTCACAGCCCCCCCCAAAAATAGATTTAAAGTATTAATTCAATTAATTGCCTTCCTTGTTCACAAACTAAAAAATTTTGAAAAACTATTCTTCCAAACTTAATCCAAATTGTCGCAGATAATTTTTTTAAAATAATCTTGAGATGACTAGAGTGTTGATTGTTTTTTCTTTTTATTATGGAATACTCAGGTTAATCCAGCCACATATTGATCAGAAAAATGTACATCAATTTGCCTTACCTTACCCCTGAGGTTCTGGATTCCTTCACTTTAGTAGCTCATTTATCTACTCCTGCAGGTCGCTGTATTATGCACTTATTTGATTCTTGCTAAGAAAGCCTCTAGCAGTTCGGCACTGGGATTTGGTTAAACAGATAATCCAAAAGCACTGGATATTTTCATAAGTTTTATCTGAATAATCCAAATCTCTAGAGTTTACTCTATTGGGCTAGAAATCTTAGAAGAGGAGGTATTCTCATAATATTTTTCAACACAATTTGTTTCTGGTTTTAGCCAAAAATAACGTAAAAGAGATCTGTTGACACATTAAGTTCCAACCTTAGATTTTTAAAAAACAATTTTGGAGGAAAAAATGAAAGTCTTTGAAAATCCAAAAGTTTCCTTCTGGCTGGCAGTTAAAACAGAAACAGTAAAACCACAACAAAAGTGGCAAGCACTGAACACACTGGACTTGGATGTCCCACCTTTGTTTTAATAGATAGCAGAATGGTTCCCGTTCAGACCTGAACAGAGTTCATTCACTTTTCCTTGCCTCTGGCAAAGTCATCTCAACCAGAAGGACTAGAAAATAATGAAAAGATAAGAGTTCCAAGGAGCACAGGCTCTAAGGAGAAACACAATAACAGGAATAGGCGGTGCTCACAGAAGCCTTAACCTGCGCCTTAAGTGTGAACTTGATGGAAAAAAAAAAGTGAAAACAAACCGATGGCTGAGGCCAAGCAGAGCAGTTCTTTCACTGGAAAGGAAAACTCTACCTACATGTTTGGCAAGTCAATTTTTTTCACTGTCAGGTGATTTTAATTAAATCCGTGTTCTCAGCGAGACAAAGAAAAAGGGAGAGGGAAAGGAGGGCGAGAAAAAAACCCAAAACAGGCAGGTACCACCTGGGCTTGAATTGCAATCTAGTTTGCACACCTGAAGATGATTTAATATTTCCAAAGGAATTTTAAATGTTTAATTTGTTAATACAGAAGTTATTTTGCTTTTGGTATTCTACAAAAGAAAACAAAACGCAATTTAATTATCTTAACCGTGACTGATATAATTAAATACTTGTTCGAAGTGAACTAAAGCTCCGGGAAGGTTTAGAGGCCCAGCCGGCTACATGATTTAGACCACCAATTCCAGGCAAATTAGAGCGTAAATGAAACCACAGCACCCAGAAGGTGGATGAGAAGACAAAAAGCATGACAATCTAAAGTCCTACTCTTGTTTTTTTTTTTTTATTTTAAAGACACTAATAATAAAAATAAAAAAAAGAACAATAGCAAAATACCAACAACATAGACAAAAAACTAACATAGCAAAAACAGTAAGAATGATACAGTGGTTCATTTTTGAGTCATTTCATCAAATTACAGTGTTAGCTTATAGAGACAGCAGTGTGAAATTTACATGGGAAAATCATTTCCATTCCTCTTCTTTTTAAAAACTAAATTGATATAACCAGCCATGATCTACCTTAGTCATAAACTCTTTGGGCAATTCTCTAAATTTAAAGTCTACTCTTAAAGCACAAACTTCTGTCATCACAGAAAAACTTCATGACTCTAAAAGTAATTTTACAAATGGAGTACAAACCACCTGAATAGAACAAAATGTAAAATATTATAAGTCAGACAGGAAGTGAAATAATTCTAGGATGTAGCTAATGGTAATGTTTTTATTTTAATTCTTCTTAATCCTTTATATTTCTATCATAATACAAAAGTATTGCTTGCTTCCTTGATTTGCTAAATAATCTCCTGAGATATTTTCTAAAATTATATCAAATGAAACCAATACAGTTATAAAAATGTGTGTTTGTGTAACGAAGTGCTCCATTTGGAAGTATGGTGCTCATTACTGATAGCAGAATTGGGGAATTTGAAACCCATTTGGAAATGTTAGAAATTATCTCAGGAGGAATAAGAACCTTATTTGGACTGAAGCTGTCTGCAGAAATATGAAGAAAAAAAAAAAAGACTCAAAGGCTAGGCTGCTGTTTGTGCATCTTAATGTACTTGGATGCATCACAGAGATGGCTCATTCTCTTCTCACTGAGGGGGAAAAAGGGAAAGTTATTGAGAACAGTGCAGCAATGTTCTCCCGGTTGCCTGCCTTTCTGTACCTGCAGCAGCAGAGAAGGTTTAAAACATCTGCTTATTACTGGAAGAATTCTTCCCATTCACAATGCATATGTAGTTGTTGGTCCCACAGAAGACTTGGTTGCCATTTTCCTTTTTGAGCTCTTTTGAATACGAGGCAAGTTGGAAGCAATAATAAAAGGCCATAGAACTATCGCACTGAAGACAATACAGAATTTCAGAGGAATCATGTCCTGTGGAGCTCTTTTCAAAAGATTAATCAGGTCCCTCATTTAAACAAAAATAACCACTAAAGTTTTGGGGCTGCCTGTGAGTCCAGGCTGCCACTGGGCCAAACCCATGGAAAGCAGACATGGCTCTGTGGTGAATTTAATCTGGCCACACGTAGGAACAGGTTAAATGAGATTGTATTGGCAGTCTGTCCAAGCCACACTGGGATACGAGGCATCTACTACTTCCTGATTCTAACAACAGTGGGGATTCCCAGATAAAGAAATATGTCATTACAGTTTTGTGGTGTAGACAGAGGTTTAGAATGACCAGGCTAATCCAAAGCCGTCTTTGGATACTCCCTCTGCCAAATTTGGAGCACTTCTGGGAAGCCTTCCTCCAAGATTAGAGTTGGTAATTTTCACAACTGGCAGAAACTGCTGCTTTCTCTGGGGTTCAGGAGTCACAGTGCCCCCCTGGCAATACCCTGGTAGGCAAAAAAATGATAAGGAAAAGAAAGGTGAAGGATAAAGGAGAAATGTTAAAAATCCAAATCATTATTTTTGTTATAATTTTGATAAGGACTGTAGAGTTGAAAGATAAGATCCTGAGAAACCCAAGCTTGTATATTTTCTACCACTCAATTAACATTAAATATTCCCTGCTTTTGGATAACTCCCTAACCTTTCTGAGTGGACTGAAAGTCTCTGGTTGGCAGGCACATAATCTGGCAGAAGAGCTCTCTAGCAAATACCTTTGTCAATAGCCATTCTGAAATATATGATGGTTTATTTATTTTTATTTATTGGTGTATGCTTGTGATACATAATAATTACATTCATCTTGGGGAACTGCTGTGTAATATATAGTGCATCTTAATTATTTTTATTATTTGATTCACTGAATTAAAGAACATACATATGCAGGAAAACAAAGGAGAAATTATTGAAGACAAGCATAAAGTAGCTGCTGTCTGGGCTTGGGGAGTGCTGAGGAAGGAAAACTCCTAGGTTTAAATCTATATACTCCTCTCGACCACTATCGGAAATGTGTAGGAAAGGAAAATGGAAAGACTAAAAATGTGACAGGGAGGCCTTTGGAGTCAGATGCTCTCTCCTGATGTTCATCACATTGTAGTCGTTCCACTGAGATCAAATCTTATATGCTTCTATGAGGATGAAAATAGACTACCTGGGAGGCATATTAGTTACTGCTATCTTATGCATCCTTGTTTTCTGCACTGAAACTGCTCTCTGAGAGCACTATATGTTCAGGCTCCTGTCTTCTGCAGCTTTAGCAGCAGCGACTAATATACCCCGGGTAACCTATTTTCATTCTAATAGGAGCATATTGGATTTTATCTCAGAGGAATGATTACAGTATGAACACTGGGAGAGAGGCATCTGACTCTATCTTCATGTAGCTTCACAAAGCACCTCATACAGGCCAACACCTACCTGCTTCAACTACAAAACGCTAGCTCTGAATACTTCACTCGCTGAACCTCTGCACCAACTTACCCGGGTTCATGCCAAGCATCCTGGCCGAAGCCCAAAGTACCTTAAATCCCCAATTATCTTCCAGCTGCTAGAAATAATGCTTCTCTTCCTCTACAACATAAAGAAGATTCAGTTCAGGGATCATTGTCAGTGAATATTCAAACTTCATGCAAATCAGTGAAATTTATTCTGTGCTTTGCTCTGACAAAAGCAAGACAACAACCACAAGAATTTTCCATAATTCTGTCTACAAAGCTCCCCAGAAATAGAAAATCTATTAAGTTGGCTTTCAGAATGTAATATTAGAAAGATCAAGTCTTTTTAAAAAAACCACATAGAGAATAAAGTTGCAGAGTTTGGTATTGTCAGGGCAGAAGTCCAGACTCCCTGCAGACTCAACCCTGTAGTAATAGCTGTTCTCCTCTTCCAACTTGGCTCAAAACTACAAGACCTTTGCTGCACACATAATGTTTATCATTTTTCTCCCCCATTGCTATTCATGATGGAAATGGCTCTAGAAGGCAGGTGTGGAAAATGAAATATTATTGGACTATAAGGTGAGGATAACCATTAAATATCAAGCTAAATTTTCTAACCAGGACTTAAATCATTTAAATTTCATATAATTTCAGAGACTTTTTTTTTTCATAAAACAGAAAGAAAACACCTGGTGCATTATTTGGTGGATTCACATAGAAGGAAGCAGAGGAAATTATCCTTGACTGGCCGTGAGGTTAAGTGGTTATATATTTTGACTGCATAACATAAATATTCCATGTAAATCCTAAATTGCAACTGTTTCTCCCCTTCTAATTTTCTTATTGCCCCCCCATTACTGCCAGGATTAGAAATTAAAGTATTCTTGGCTTTACCTTAATTTGTTCAAATGTCAGAGTGTCCAAAGTTTATTTGATTTACCAACATTATGTATTAAATAAAATTGAAACAAATAAGTAAGAATTCCTTGGGGTAGTTGTGCACATAAAGGTGAATCTGGGGGCATCGTTGTATTCCCTAATAAGATAAAAATGAACCTCAATACAAAGAGAAATTGAGATCCTAAAATGGACCTCATTTAATTTAAAAGTGTGATATGTTTGCCTATTTCTTCTTAAAGTAATGTACCATCTAACAAAAACCAGATGTCAGTGTAGTAGGGTGATACTGTACATCAAGATCCTAACCATTAGAATTCTAAGTACGTTTGTTATCGCTATCACAGTGTCTAATCATTCCACACCCTTTCTTGTTTGTGGAAAAT